GGCCTGGAAATATACAAAGGGTCGACTGCTATACACACATCTTTTCTTTACTTTCTGTTCCCCAGATACCACTTGAAAGATGTCATTGTGGGGAAGATATACTTCCTGCTGGTGAGAATCAAAATCAAGCACATGGAGATAGACATCATCAAGCGGGAAACAACGGGCACAGGCCCCAACGTGTACCATGAGAACGACACGATAGCCAAGTATGAGATCATGGATGGAGCGCCAGTAAGAGGTAAGCCTCGTGGTCCCATGGCATGGCCCCTCCTCCCCCACCTTGTCTCCAGGCCCCGCACAAAACTGGAGGGGCATGAGGGACTGTACTGCCAAAGTGAGATTTCTGTTAACCTCTAACTTCCTCAGCTGTAATGGCACGCTTGGGCTGAGTCTGTGACACTCCAGCCTGCCACCTGCCTTCCCCCAGAGAAGCTCCGCTTCTGCCTTGACCACATCATGAGCTTGGACTGGAGACTGAGTTATCCCTGTTACAAAAAGCTTGCAAATTGGTTAACATACACGGTCTGAATTTATTGTAACTTCTGCCTGTTGACATTCGGACATTCTTTGCTGTTAAGGGGCAAGAGATTAATACAGAATAGTCACTTCTGTTACTTAGTTCTGGCTCTGGGAAAATGATGAATTCTCTGCATTCACTCACCAAGTATAAATACTCTGGCCAGCACCATCGGGGGCTGCAGTCAGTACTGGGAACTGGACGGGAACTATTCCTCCTTTGCTCACCCGGAGCTAACGTTACTTCTGGGATGGGTGGGGTTGAGAGCTTTGTTTGGGGAGTCTGTGTGACTATTTGGGAGAAGCAATCACTTAGGCTCTGCACTGGCTCTGCTGCAGCGGACCATGAAGAGTATATTCCTTCCCTGAGAAGTGCCTGGTGATGCCGAGGTCTAATCCACGCAGGAGGAGTGTCGTAGCTTAGCAGCCTGGAGCCCTGGGGACAATGCTGAGCAGCGCTGTGCCAGGTCCTGGGGGAGGGAGGACGGAGCTCTCCAGACTCCCTGCGTTCCAGTTTCCACCAGCTGTGCAAGCAGAGCCAGTTGTCATTGTCCTTGTACAAAGGAAACGGGGCCATGAGAAACATACCAAACAGCGGATAACGAAAAGATCATTTCTGTGTAGCTTTACACTGCATTACAGCTTTGGCCTTTCTTAGTACAACTGCTGCCCTAACTTTGTTCCACTTATGCTAGGAAAGGCATGATGTTAGCGCTGGAGGGGATCTAAAATAATCTGTAGTTTGTTTCCATAATTTTCCACCTGAGAAAACTGAGGTCCAGGGAAAGCAACAGACTTAGTTATTCATGGAGAACTGGGACTAGAATGAGGATGTTGTTCCCAGACCACTATGCCATCCGCCAATCCATCTTAGTGATGTATTTTGGGGGCATGCCCTAATTAGGATGGAAGGAGTGGCATCGGAATTGCTGGGTGACACGATGGGTTTGCTAGAGTTTGACAGTAGGCTCTTGAAAACCCAGCAAGTAGACACATTCCACGTGATCAAAAGATGTTTGACAGTGGCTGTCCACCCCTACCGCCACTCGTGGTCCTGTGTGGGGACAGCGGGAGGACATTCTGAAGCGCAGCTGGACGAGAAGGGAATTGCAGTCACCTTCTGCTTCAGCTCATCACTGGGCAGCAGTGTCCTGCGTTCCATGCCATGCTCAGATGCCCAGTGATACATAGGGATACACTGGCCAGAGTGACTTGTGTAAGGCCGAGTGGCCACCTTGTCCCTCGCTCTGATTCCTGCCTGGCCCTTACAGGAGAGTCTATCCCGATCCGGCTCTTCCTGGCGGGCTACGAGCTCACCCCCACCATGCGGGACATCAACAAGAAGTTCTCCGTGCGCTACTATCTCAACCTGGTGCTGATCGACGAGGAGGAGCGGCGATATTTCAAACAGCAGGTGAGGCTGGCACCTCCACCCGACTCCTGGGGGCCTAGCGACAGAACAGGAGGGCGTCGTTCTGCAAAGATCAGCCTCCTGTCGGGCAGGTTAAGCAGCATGGCACGCGTCTCCATGCCACCGTTAGTGTACCAGAGGTGGAAACGGGTCACCTAGAGCCTCATAGCAACGAGGGTTCCCATAGGTAGCGAGAGTCTGCTTCCTCGGCCCAACCCCACAACCACTCTGCCTTCCAGCCCAAAGCATCCAGAGTTCCCTGGGACGGAGGTGGGACACCTCAATCTTTGCTGGGAGAGGGATTTGCCTAAGATTCGCCCAGAGAACATTAGAGCCTCCGGGCAACCCAATGCCTTCCTCTCATGCCATCATGTTGCCCCTCTCCCAATTTTGCAGGAAGTGGTGTTGTGGCGGAAGGGTGACATCATACGGAAGAGCATGTCCCACCAAGCAGCCATCGCCTCACAGCGCTTCGAGGGCACGACCTCCCTGGGTGAAGTGCGGACCCCCAGCCAGCTGTCTGACAACAACTGCCGGCAGTAGGCCCCCAGGGCCCAGGAGCTGCTGGGCTCCCACCCGGCACCCCATCTACCAGACACCAGCGGCTGGGGGAGGGGAGGATGGTGTGAGCTCAGCTGACCCGTTACTTGCAACCTGAAAACAAATCATGTTTTTGACTTAAATTCTTTTTCTGAAGACCCTTGGGGGCTTGGGCCAGGAGGTACTCTCCTTGGGGTTCCGCAGCTGGCGGAGTAGAGAGAAGTAGCATCCTGGAAGCGAGTGTCCCTCTGGGGACAGAGCCTCCGCTGGGGCCTCGCACAGGGCTGCCTCACGCCGCATAGGAAGACAGTGCCAGCCAGCGTCCTCGGCCCAGCCTCTGGCTTCCTGATGCAGGAACTGACCAGTCCCTGGGAGTCTGAGCTGCCAACGGGCCCTGGGTAGTCACCTCTTGTCCTCCCCTCTGCGTCCCTGAGGGAGGGGCAGGAGTTGGGCCTGCCCCATCCCAAGTGGCCAGGGTGAGACTCGAGATTAGGAAGCTACCTCTTTGGGAGTCTGGGATGTGGTGCTTTGAAGTCTCCACAAGCCACCTCCCTTCTGGCCTTTCCCTCCCTGCTGGGACCCAGACACTCTCCTCTCCATCCTCTCTGGACTCTTGTCAGTAACATCCTGAGACGGAGCCTGTGGAAGGGCCTTTAGCTGACTGTCCCCTCACCCATGAAAAATTGTGGCTCAGAGACGCCCTGGGGTCATTGTCACGTATGGATGGCAGCAGGGTCAACACTGCATGGAGCTGCCTGACTCCCATGTCACTCCCGTCAGTCCTGGGGGCTGTGTGGTTCTGGGGTATTGTTTTGTGTGCCCAGCCCACAAGCTGAAACAGGGACATGTTTCCTTTAAGAACAGATCCCAGGAAGCGGCCTTGATCCCTTGCTTCCCTAAGTGTGGATCCTCTACTCCTTGCTCTCCATTTAGTTGGAGAACTAGGGCTGGCTTTCAAACACTTGGACCTTTTGTTCTTACTATTGCCCATGCCCCTTCACTCCCCACCTAACCCTCGGGAGGGCGAGGAGGAATCAACAGGACCTGCCACAGCCTCAGAACCGGCTTGCCAAATCCCGTCGCCCCCAGGTGACTGGCCAGGGTTGAGGACCATTGCCGTTTTTCTTCTTGTTCCTCTAGAGAAGGGTTCCCGCCGGGCCTGTTGCAGGAACAGGGTTGACATCCTTTCCTGCTTCACCTGGAAATGACCAGGAATTCCTTCCTTGGCCTCCTGTCCCTTCTTGGAAGACAAGCAGACCCACTGACCAAAAGGGCAACATTTGGTGGTCTCGGGGCTCTGTAATTTGGCAAGCAGAGGGGTTTGTTGGTTCCTGTGTCATTTTTCAGTCAGTGTGGGAAATGGGGATGACTCGTCTTCAAATTTCAGTATAACCGTGGGCCTTTGGGCCGGGCCCGAAGATCAGGAAAGAGACCAGGAAGGCGTTTGGGCCAACGCTCGAGGTTGACTGGGGGCGGCAGCACCAAGGAGGGTGAGGTGGTTTCCCTGGGCCGGGCCCCGAGTTCGGTCCAGCGGACAGTCCCCTTGGGAACAGGCTGTCCCTGGATCTGCAAGGCTGGGACGACGTGTGTGGGGGAGGTGGGCTGTGCTGGCCTCTGCAGAGCCCGAGACCAGGCTCTGGCGTGCCTCCCATGGATGCTGTTCTAGCGGGAAAGCACCTGACAGTTCCTCTGCGTCCCCACAGACAACACACATCCATCCTCCGACTTTTGTACCATCTTAACTCTTTCTTCTGGGAGAACTAGAAGATAGAATTTGCTTTTATTCTCTCAGGACCTGTGCACAAGCTAGACCTTGCGTTTCCTCTTCCTCCGCCCTCGTTCTTCACTAATGTGCCCCACTGGGGGTGAGGGGAGGCTCCCGTCCGTCCCCCCGTCACAGGTCTCCACGCCTAGGAGTGCATAGGTACTAAACCAAGCAGTGCACCTTGTAATTAAGCAGCTGCCGTGTTTACATGTTTCTTAATGTATCGTCTTTTCAGTGGCTGTATTTTAAAAAAAGAGCGCTTGTTTCAGTCGTCTCTCTGATTAAAGGAAGCCCTGTGCCCGGAGGCATCGTGCCCACGGTCCACCAGCTTCTGTGGTCTCTTCTGCCTTAGCGCTGTCTCACCTCACCCAGGAAGACAGATCCCACTGTGACAGCAAGACGCCTGCCCGCTCTGTGAACAGGGATGGGCACTTTCCTAATACCACCCGTTCCAGACCAGCATGCGACTGAGAAAGGAAGCCCGTGTACTTCCATCTAGCAACTCGTGCTGCAACCGCTGATGGTTTCAACCCCTGTGGAGCCTACATGACTCCAGGGCTAGTAAAGAGACCGGAAGTTCACCCGGCCAGTGTGGTTCAGCAAAGAGGCTTCCTATGCACCAAGAGTTGCAGCTCCGATTCCCCGTCCGATTCCCCGTCAGGTTGCAGGTTCGATTCCCAGGGGGAGGGCATGTAGGAGGCAGCCAATCAAATGTTTCTATCTCTTCCTCTCTCTAAAATCAGTATATTGAGAGATAGCCACAGCTCTGACATTTAGTGTTTTATTTATTGAGAAAAGTACAGAAAACCCACCCATGTACACAGCCGCAGACGAACATAAGAAGCCTCACGTCCTGTTTGTCGTCAGAGTCATGTCTTGCCCATTCTAGCAGGTATCTCGGCTAACTCGGTTCCTTTTCCTCCAGGCTCAAAATAAAATCAAACTCCTCTACCAAAAGGGGAAAGGAAAGGAAGAATTAGGTCTCGGGTCTCCTCTTGAATGGGAAAGCTAAGCTAAGCATCGCTCGCGTTAGTCAAAAACCACTTAGGGAGTGCTTCACTCTGCCGAGCACTGCTGGGCCCGGAGTACAGTGACGGGCGACTCAGGACACACTCCTCCCGCAGGGACAGTCAAGGTGAGGACAGACGCAGGGGAAGTACTGTGCCCAAGTCTGATCACTTAGCAAATGCGAGTTGCCAGCGCCACTCTGGTGGGCAGTGACGGAGGACAGGGCCCGTCGTACCTCGGGTCAGGGGCTGCACTGAGAGCCTCTGCAGAGTGAAGAGTGCCATGTGCTGTAGGGGCCCGCCAGAGGCCTTGTGAACCTGGTGATGGGTTCGGAGCTCGGCCAGGGGAATGAAGCGCTTCAGCATCCGCACGAACTGGACATCCACCTACATGACCAATGTGTGGGACAGACGGACGTGCTGCTGCACTCTGTCCGCTGTGTTAGCTGCTTGCAGGCGTTCTGTTCTCCAAAGTTGGGGTAACCCCGTCCGAGTCTGAGCTGAGCTCTGTATCCTGTCACAAACACCCCCCTCCCGTCCTCCAACCTTCTTCCTCCCTCTTTGTCCATCCTTCCCCCTCGTGAAATCGGAAAAATCGTCTTTACCATGGACCATTTGGGGTTGTCTTTTTTGCTGGATGGATCATAATGGGGGTTGCTTTTCTCAAACTGTGTGTGGTCTGGGTAAGCCTCCTTCACAATCTGAAACCAAAACCAAGTCTCCAATCACTTGCCTATATAGTCGGCTCCATGGCAATTCTTTAACCCAAGACCAGCGTTCATTTCTGGCCCTGCACATTCTCACCCCATCTGCCTTGCCTTAGAGCGGGGGCTCCAATATCTGGAAACAATACACGGTCTAAGGCAAACAGGATGTCAACCCCACCTTGACAAAAATCTTAAAAGGATGTTCTAAAACCAAATATTCAAGGTTATTGTTGGTTAAAATTTTTATTCTGATAATGCCTGGCTCAGAAGAGCTACCATTCGGCTTGTTTTTTGTTTTAAAATATATTTTACTGATTTTTACAGAGAAGAAGGGAGAAGGATAGAGTGTTAGAAACATTGAGAGAAAGACATCCATCAGCTGCCTCCTGCACACCCTCTACCAGGGATGTGTTCACAATCAAGGTACATGCCCTTGACCGGAATTGAACCTGGGACCCCTTCTCTCCACAGGCTGACTCTCTATCCACTGAGCCAAGCTGGTTGGGGCCATCAGGCTTGTTGAGTGAAAAGACCAAGGTGTAGAAACAGAGAAACATCTGGGACCTGAGATGAAGGCCTATCTTTGGCCTAGTCCTGGTCACATGACAGGGCCAGGGCAGTTTCCCATATTCCTGTGCGGCCAGGGATGGGAGGAGGACTCTTTTTTTTCCCGTTATCTATTGAAGCTAGCACCCTTTGAATCTGTCTACCTGAGTGGGTGCTCCTGAAGGGGGAGGGAGGCAGACCCAAGCCTGTGCAGCTCACCTTCACAAGTCCCGCGATGCCTGGCTCTTTGCAGTTACTGTGGTAGAAGAAGGCTTCCTGCCCCAGCTTCATGGCTCTCAGGAAGTTCCGGGCCTGACCCAGGGAAGCAGAAACAAGACTAGCCTCCCCGCCGGTGTGAGCAGAACTGTAGTCTGCCTTTATTAGGTGAATTTTCCTTTACTGCAGTTTCCCCAAATTCAGTTTTTTTCTTAATCCTCACCAGAGGGTATGTTTCGCAAGAGGAAGGGAGAGACAGAGAAACATCGACCTGCTGCCTCCTGTACATGCCCTGACTGGCCATCCAACCCACCACCTGGGTATGCGCCCCGATTGGGAATCAAATCCACCACCTTCTGGTGTGCGGGACGACATTCCAACCAACTGAGCATCCCCCCAGTTCAATTCTTGTCTTTGCCAAGATACCCAGACTTGTATGGGGATGCTGGCTAAAACACACACCACTTGTAAGGTGCATGCCATCTGAGTAATTATTTTTGAGGACATTTTTAGGCTTGGGTTCTAGGGAAAAGCGACCTTGGCTGAGATTCTGCTGCTGAGTAAGGCCTACGAAGGAGGCAGGCGTCCATCCTACTCCAGGTCTCAGGGTGCTGCTCTTACCTGATAGTTGCGAACGCCATCCCAGCATGCTGTCTGCTTGGGCTCCGCTTTGAGATCCTCGATGCTGAACTAGGCAACGGGAAAGAAAACTGTTCATTAAATAATCCTGGGCCAATTGGTAAGAATTCAGGGAAGCTAACCACTCCCTCCCATACATTGTGGGTGCTACAGCGAGAATATGCAGTTAACCAGGAAATAGCTCTAGAGAGGCACCTGGATATTAAGTGATCTTTGTGTTAACTTTTTAGTTAAGAGGATTAGTTAAATGGATGATCCAGAGCATAAAGTAATCTGGTTCTTTGTATTTGTATTAAAATGTTATCTAATCTAATTCTGTTTCCTCTGGGCTATCTGAAAATTGCTTTACATTCATTCCCTGGATTAGTGTGAGATAATGCTAGAACATGACAGGTGGCAAGAGAAAGATAATCAGGTTGGCAAACTACAGCCTTCAGGCCAAATCTAGCTCCAAAGCTGATGTTGTAAATGCAGTGTCACTGGAACACAGCCACAACATGCGTTTACCTTCTTGTCTATGCCATGTTCTTGCAACAGCTGCGTTGCAAGAGCAGCTAGAAGACCAGAGCACCTAAGATATTTGCTGTCTGGCCCTTGACAGAAAAGTTTGCCATCCCTGCCCTAGACAGAGGAGTCACACAAAAAAGACAGTGGATGGTAGTAAGTCCTGCTAATTTTATTCCTTATTACCTGTTCCCTACCCTTCAAAGAGAAGAAGTTGGTAATGGAACCCTTTGGTGTTCCATGTTCATTTCTTATTAAAAAACAACAACTACAAAACAACAACGAAGAGCTTGGCGGGATTGGAGCCAGGGACATGGTCTCACCTTCACATCCACACCTTTCTCTAGGCGGCTTTCAGGCTCTGACTTCATCAGCCAGTAGCTGCTTACATTGTCCCCACATTTTTTAAGAGCTGAAGTCTCCCGAGGGCTGGGTCTCTCCACTGTAGCTGGTGCCTCACCAGGGTTCTTAGTCTTGGTACGCTTTCCTGCTGGTCCCTTCTTGTCTGCCAGAGAAGAAGCAAGAAGAGAGCTGTCATGATTGCTGAGAGTTAAGGTTCCATAGTGGCAAAAGCACAGACGCTGGAGTCAGACTGGATTCAAATCCTGGATCTCTCCGTTACCAGCAGGGACAGCTTCACTACTGAACGTATTTCTTATCTACAAAAAGGGAAGAAGAATGCCTGCCTCACAGGGTATCTTTGGAACATCCATTCAATGGGATCAAAATACCTTACTTGGCTGTGGTTTAAAATGAAGGGTCCTAGCAGAGTACGAGGGCATACATTAATTACGTCAGGGGTAGGGAACATCCGGGCCTTGGACCACATAAGGCCTGAGAAATCATTTGGTCTGGCCCTGCAATGTTTGAACAAATATAGCAGGCTAATTTTCAAGTTGGTAATTGTGTATGGCCTGTGAATGATGTTCTAAACATCCAAATAACCCTTGGCAGAAAAAAAGGTTCCCCATCCCTTATAAATCGGTGTTTTTCCTTCCCTCCCTCACTCTGTGTCTTTGCTGAAGCTATCCTCTCTCATGAGGAAAAGCCAGCCCCTACTCCATGGAATTGTTCTGAAAAATTACATAATAGAAACCATGGCCTTAGACAGTGCCTGGCATTATAATAAATATTAGCGCTAGTTATCATCTCATACTTCTTTCCTGCATGATCACTGTGTTTTCGTGCCCTGCTCTTTTTTGATCCTTGAACGTGTCAAGAGAAGTTGGAAGAAACAACTCATTCAGGGCTTTGCAGACATGATAAGGACTGGATTTCATCCTAAGAGAATTGGAGAAAATGTGCCTGGGACATGGTAGGCACTTGAAGCTAACAGTTGTGATATTCTTTTTTTTTTTTTTTAATATATTTTATTGATTTTGTACAGAGAGGAAGGGAGAGAGATAGTTAGAAATATCGATGAGAGAGAGTCATCGATCAGCTGCCTCTTGCACACCCCCTACTGAAGATGTGCCCGCAATCAAGGTACATGCCCTTGACCGGAATCGTACCCGGGACTCTTCAGTTCCCAAGCCGACGCTCTATTCATTGAGCCAAACCGGTCCCGGCAGTTGTGATATTCTTACAGACCCTAAGCTCTAGTACTCTAATTGTAATCCAGTTAATCTATATTCTATAGGATGATTTATGCATCTGGAAAATATAGCCCAGATGACATAACCAGTAATCAATCTGGTCTTTCTGAATCCACACTTTATGACACGCCAGTCACAGCCTCTGAATCAAGTCAAAGCTCCTCTTGTCAGTCATCCCTAAATACCACTTGTGGATGGCTCTGAGCGTTTCTAGCCTGGTTCCTAGTTGTCCCTTCCGAGCTAATGGGCACCCTAAACACCCCTGTGTTGTTCAATAGCACTGCCATGCCTCCAAAAAGGTACTTTACCTTGTTTTGTTCCTGCTATTCATCTATTCAGAATGCCACTTATCCTTATGAATATAAAAAGGACACCTTGTTTTCTTTGCCTGGGGAAAGCCTTCCCATTCTTTAAGGCTAGTCTCAAATTTCACTTCCTTCTCAAGGACTTCCCAGTGATTCCTCCCTGCTCTTTCACATCTAGCAATCCAGTTCCCTGGACCCTTTCACTTGTCTAAATTCTCTAGAGCAGGAACTATATATATTTTTTCTTTAAATTCTCACAGAGGTTATGTTTTCATTGATTTTTAGAGAGAGGAAGGGAGAGAGGGAAACATCCATGGGTTGCCTCCCACTGGCATCCCATCACCCTCTTCTTCCCCCCCAGTCTGGGTATGTGTCCAGACTCCATCAAACCTGCAACCCTTTCAGTGTACAGGGCGATGCTCCAGCCAACTGAGCCACACTGGCCAGGGCAAGAACTACATTATTTACCTTAATCCATGCCACCCTGTATCAAATATTGTGTTCTTATCAAACAAGCAGAAGGGGCTCTAGGTATAAGCATGGCAGGAGGTAAAGAAGGCGGAGGGCCACAGGGGACTCTCCCCACAAGCAGGAAGTGGAAGTGAACAGTATTAAACAGAGAAACGATCTCAGGGAGGCCGCCTTTTTGCAGCCTGGGTGCAAGCTCACCTTGCCCAGCAGTCCCATTCAGCCTCTTCCTGAGTCTCGGCATGGTCTCCCTGCACCTGGCTCAAGAGCGGAAGATTCTGGAATCTACTACGAGTCACAAGAGGAAGCTCTGCACCAGCCAGAGACTTGCGCCAAGAAAAACGGAGAAAACGAAATTTAAAGAGGGTTTCAGCCCAGAGGCTCCTTAGCCAAGAACACAGACTGGGTTCCCACCCTTCAAATCCTCCTCCAATTATCTACACCCCTACTTCCCATCTCGTTTAACCAAACTCTTAAACTCTTCTCCAATTTTCCTGGGACCCCCAGGTCATTCGTTCGCCACTTTACCTAGAACCCTACACACTAATCCGCAAACAAGCCTTTCAGCGCCCAACCCTCCGGCCCCCAGGCCGCGGAGATCTCTGGGAGTTGTAGTCCCTGCTCCTGACGCAGACCCGCCTGACCCCGGATCACAGGGGCCGCCGGGAAAGCGGCTGCTCCCAGCGTGCACTACAACTCCCAGAGTGCACCACGCGCCCCCCAGCGTGCGGGGCTGGGCCGTGGCCGGGAATGGGGCCGCCGCCGCGGGGTTGGGTGGGGAGGAGGGCCGGCCTAGGTCAGGAGTTCTCGGGCCCTGGCCGGAGCTGGCAGCGGAGCGATGTGGCGGAGCAACGGCCTGCGGCTCGGAGCGCGGCTCTGCTGCCCTCGCGGCGGTGCCCGGGCTCCCGCCGAGCGCGGCCACCGGAGCCTGGTCTCCTGCATCGATCGTAAGACTCCCCCTGGGGAACAGGTGTCCGGGACCCGGGCAGAGCGCGCTGTTGCCCCGGGAGGTCGGCGCCGCGGTCACCCCAGACCGGCTCCCCCTGCCGCCTTGGCGGTCACCCTGTCCGATCCACCTGGGTGGCCTCCCAGCGGACTTGGCGCTCTCGGACCTCAGCCAGCCTGTTGCGCCCCTCGGCCTCGCCTGCTGTTCCCCCCTTATCCTCCCTCCTCGGACGGGGTGGCGGAGCCGGCCCTGAGCCTTGTGGTCCAGGCCTCATGGGTTCCAGAGCCCCGTCCTCTTCGCACCGCTTAGAGCAGCGCTTTTCCACCGGGTGCCGCAGGAATGTTCAGAACATGCAGCTCCTGGACTATTGAGTCACGGACATTGGCCTCCTTCTCCTTAGATCAGTCTTAGAGCACTCTGTCTTAGAGCACTAGCTAAGTATACAGTTTTACCTATATGGTCCCAAGAATTCTAGTATAGCACTTCTTAGTTGGGATTCAGGAATCTGTATTTTAACAACTCCACCAGGTGGTTCTCATCATGAGAGAAGTTTGGGAAACACTACCTTAGATTGCCGGATTTTTAAAAAAGCAGTAACAGCCAACACAGCCAGAGCCGTCTGGTGCGAATGAATCCAGTGCTGCAGAGTTTTTAGTCATTAGTTTCTGTGCCACGAGATGAAAAAGGTTGAACATCGCCGCTCTAGAGGTATTTGGAAATTCTTGGCTAAAACAGTCCCTCTGAAGCTAGATCAAGATCTGAAAACACTTCGCAGCTAATACAGATTACATCTTCCTTAAACTTAGTTTCTGTTAAAAACCCTTTGGTGTGTTTCATAAATTGACTTATGAAATAAGTACAATACCTTAAGGACCTTACATTTACCCTCACAACCTCTGTTATTATCCCCGCATTTAGCTAAAGAGTGGATGTTTAGGCGCTGAAACCCGGGCTTTTAGTGGTGGTTTAAAAAAAAAAAATCATAACAATCTATATACGTAAAAACCTTAGCGACCATTGCAACCAAAACAACCAAATGGATGACCAAACAGGCTGCATGGGCAACCAGGCCAGCAGTGGGGGCAATTAGGGGTGACCAGGCTGGTGAGGGAGCAGTAAGGGGTGACCAGGTTGGTGTGGGAGAGGGGGGGATTAGGGGCAATCAGGTTGGCGGAGGCGGGGGAGGGGGGGGGGGCGGCGGCAGTTAGGGGTGATCAGGCATGCAGGTTAGCAGTTAGGAACTAGTGGTCCTGGATTGTGAATCAGGTATCCTCTGAGTGGTCCGGGATTGGAGAGGGTGCAGGCTGGGCTAAGGGGGACCCCTCCTCCCTCATGCACGAATTTCGTGCCCTGGGCCTCTAAGTAGGTCATAAAAGCAGTAAGAAGGCAAAAAGTCTGGTGCTGGTGGTAATTGAGGAACAAAAGCTCTAGGCAATATAAGATTTGCTAATTAGCTGAAACCAGTTTGGCTCAGTGGTAGAGCGTCGGTCTGTGGACTGAAAGGTCCTGAGTTCGATTCCGGTCAAGGGCATGTAACTTGGTTGTGGGCACATCCCCGGTAGGGGGTGTGCAAGAGGCAGCTGGTTTGCAAGCCGCAGTTTGCCGACTACAGCTTTCAACAGACACTTAGATGTAGAAAGTACACTAAGGTATAGGATACTGTTTTCCTCTCAATGTCCTAAACCACCTTCACAAGGTACGGCCCTGGTCTAGCACTTGAACTTGTTAAACAGGATTACCTTGCCAGAGGGTACAGGGAGTAGTTCTGTCAACAAATAGGTTAAATAAGATTTCCAGGTATAGCTTCAGCTAATGCGGTGCTTTTTCACATTTTTTATTTTTTAAATCAATCTTTATTGTTCATATTATTACAAAGGTTCCTCATTTCTTCCCCCTTCCACCAGGTTCCCACCCCACCCCCCATTGTCCTCATCCATAGGTGCACAGTTTATGTTCAGTCTCTTCCTCCTTCCCTTTCCCCGATAGTAAATCCCTTTTCAGATAGTAAATCAGTTACTTAGCATTTTCTCATATCAATAATACCTCCACATGCCCAATGATACACTTCACACAAAAGACATTTCCAAATAGGTCAACTAGCCTCATTCAGGCCCCACCCAAGGCACTCACAGATCAACACCCCAGCGCTATACTAACTCAACACATCCAGATCTAAGCCTTCATCACTTGATTCAGCAGACCCTCAAGTTCCCACAAAAGTTTCCAGCCATGTCTGAGAGGCAGCTGTGGGGTAGGGGCAGGCGAGGAGCGAGCTGTTCCGGGCCTGGCTGCTCCGGGCGAGGCCTCTGTTGCTCTGGTTCGTTCCACAACCAACTGCTCTGGGTCTGGTCACTGCCGCTCCCGACCTAGTCGCTCTGGACTTGGCTGCTGCTGCTCCGGGTCCGGCCGCTCCAGGCCTGGCCGCTCCCAGCCTACCAGCCGCTGCTCCGGGCCCAGCCGCTCCGAGTCTGGCCGCCCCCGGCCTGGATGTTCCAGGCTTGGCTACTGCTGTTCTGGGCCTGGCTGCTCCCAACCCGGCTGCTCTGGGCCCAGCTTCTCCGGGCCCGGCCACTCCGGGTCTGGGTGTTCCTGGACTGGCCACCCTGGGCTTGGCCACCTTTGCCTCAGGCCTGGCTGCCACTGCCCCAGGTCTGGCTGCTTCGCTTTTTCACATTTTTAAAGGAAATTGTCTTTTTTTAAAATGGTAAAATAAGAGAGAGTTGTCCCTTCAGTATATCATCCTGCATGTTAAAATGTCAAATTAATGGAAATGATCAACAAATGTTTCTCATTGTTGCATTGCATTTTTTAAAATTTTATTAATGAATCTTTATTGTTCAGATTATTACAGTTGTTCCTCTCCCCCCATAGTTCCCCTCCACCCCACCCCATACCCTTACCCCCCCACCTCTGTCCCCATCCATGAGTGTAAGATTTTTGTCCAGTCTCTTCCCTTCCCCCCTGAGAATTGTCCACTCCCTTTCTGTGCCCCTGATTCTATTATATTCACCAGTTTATTCTGTTAATCAGATTTTTTATCACTTGATTTTTACATTTACTTATTGGTAGATATTTATTGTCTCTTTGTTTTTCATAATTTTTTATCTTTACCTTTTTCTTCTTCTTCCTCTTAAAGAATACCCTTCATCATTTCATATAATACTGTTTGGTGGTGATGAACTCCTTTAGCTTTTTCTTATCTGTGAAGCTCTTTATCTGACCTTCAATTCTAAAAGATAGCTTTGCTGGATAGAGTAATCTTGGTTATAGGTTCTTGCTGTTCATCACTTTGAATATTTCTTGCCACTCCCTCTATGCCTGCATAGATTCTGTTGAGAAATCACCTGATAGTTGTATGCGTGCTCCCTTGTAGGTAACTAACTTTTTCTTTTGCTGCTTTTAATATTCTCTCTTTGTCTTTTGCCCTTGGCATTTTAATTCTGATGTGTGGTTGTGTGGGCCTCTTTGGATTACTCTTGTTTGGGGTTCTCTGCGCTTCCTGGACTTGTATTTCTTTCACCAGGTGGGGGAAATTTTCTGTCATTATTTCTTCAAATAGGTTTTCAATATCTTGCTCTCTCTCCTTTTGGTACCCCCATAATAGGAATGTTGGTTCATTTGAAGTGAAGAGACTCCTTACACTATCTTCATATTTTTGGATTCTTATTTCTTTTTGCTTTTCTGCTTGGGTGTTTGTTTTTGTTGTTTTGTTTTGTTTTGCTTCTTCATATTTCAAATCTTTGACTTGATTCTTGGGATCCTCTAGTCTTCTGTTGGATCTCTTTATTTCAGTCAGTGTGTGCTTAATTTCTAATTGGTCCTTTTTCTTTTTCTTTTTTTTTCTTTTTTAAAAATATATTTTATTGATTTTTTACAGAGAGGAAGGGAGAGAGATAGAGAGCTAGAAACGTCAATGAGAGAGAAACACCAACCAGTTGCCTCTTGCACACCCCCTACCGGGGATGTGCCCGCAACCAAGGTACATGCCCTTGACCGGAATCGAACCTGGGACCTTTCAGTCCGCAGACCGATGCTCAACCACTGAGCCAAACCGGTTTCAGCTAATTGGTCCTTTTTCATATCCTTGAGGGTCTCACTAAATTTCCCAGAGGTTTCTAGAAGACTCTTGAGTAACCTTATAACTGTAGTTTTGAACTCTATGTCAAGTTGTTTGCTTTCCTACATTTCTTTCATTTGTGGCCTGTTTCTCATCTCCACATTTTCACTGCTTCCCTGTGTTGGCAGAGTAGCTCTGTATGCTAGGTGTCCTATAGGGCCGTGTCTCAGCCTCCCATGGTGACACTCTTGGTGGACACTCTTAGTGCACCCTTTGTGGGCTGAGTGCACAGTCTTGTAGTTAAGCCTTGATTGCTGTGGTATCATTGGGAGGAATTGATTTCCAGGCCAGTTGACTGTGAGGACTAGCTATGTCTACATTGGGAGATCTGCTGTGCTGGAGACACCCTTGTGGACCAGGTCTTGCTTCAGTGGGGCTTTGGTGCTCACTGAGTCTTCCCCTTGAGTGTGTCGCTTATGGATGTGCAGAGTTGTAATCTGGTATGGTCTCACACTGACCACTGGGTACACTGGCTCTTGGATCTCCACGGAGGTGCAAAGTCAGCCACTGCCTGAGGCCACTCAGCAGGAGCTACAGAAAGATCTGCAGATTCCTCCTGTTTGTTGGGGTTTGGAAGTGCCTAGATGAGGCCCAGCTGTGAAGCAATGCAGGCTGCCACTGCAGAGCCTTAGGCCTTCTTTTGCAAGCTTTGGAGCTCTCTGATCCAGCTGCAGTTTGTTAGGTTTTAGGTTGCAGAACAACAACAGTGCACCCAATTGCCAGCTCGTTTTGAGCAGGCCTCCGTAGCTACACATCTCCTACCAGTCTTTTCTCTTTCCTTCTAGTTGTAGAACTTTTAGTCAGCCAAGCTTTCCCGTGGTTCTGGGTGATACTCGTTTTGTCTTTTAGTTGTAGTTTTGATGTGGTGGTGAGAGGCAGCAAGTACAGGTGTTGACCTATGCCGCCATCTTGGTTGTTTTCCTCATTGCATATTTTAATGTAAAAAATAATTTTTAAGAAAGCTGGTTTTATAATAATTCGGTATATATTACGCATCTATATAAAGTTTCCTCCTTTTGCAGGTACTATCATTTTACAAATGAGGACATTTATTTCGTGTCTAGTGGAGCCCCTCATTTTACATGTGATAACTGAGGTTCAAGCTGCACCTGACTTGTGGACGTTGCACAGTTAATCATTTCAGAACCAGAGCTCACATGACTAATTCCTTGTCTGGTGCTGCACCTTCCCACCCGTTCTTGGGACACCAAGCTTCTCAAATAGAATATTGGTTCTGTACTGTGAATGCATTTTAAGATTTATATTATTTGGAGTTTTCTTTGTGTGTTTTCAACTCTTTCTTATTATACTTCAGTTGCTGTACAGTGACGGCTTTCCTCGTCTCATTTGGACTCTTTTTCCACTTGGCTTTACCATTTTAGTGTGTGTGTGTGTGTGTGTGTGTGTGTCTGAGTGTGTGTGCGCACGCTTTTTCAACTCTGTCAGTGACTCCAGCCAATATCATGAGGTGTTTGTTTTGTGTATATGGTGTATGTTTGCAGGAACTGGAGGTATTTTTCATTAATAACCATGCTTCCGTGTGTATAATTTGCCTTTTAGTTTACTTCTCCCACTCCCCCTCCCCCCAAAGTAATGCTCTCCTTTCATTAGCATCCCTTTAGCTATAACATTGACTATTTGGTCATCTTAAAAAATGAGACTATGTTGTATTTACTTGTACATATGACTTGCATACACCTAGTCCCTATTTTTACTTAGCTTATCATTTTATTTTATTTTTATTTCTTAAATATATTTTATTGATTTTTTTTTTTACAGAGAGGAAGGGAGAGGGATAGAGAGTTAGAAACATCGATGAGAGAGAAACATCGATCAGCTGCCTCCTGCCCACCCTCTACTGGGGATGTGCCTGCAACCAAGGTACACGCCCTTGACCGGAATCGAATCTGGGACCCTTGAGTCCAAAGTTCAACGCTCTATCCACTGAGCTAAACCGGTTTCGGCTTAGCTTGTCATTTAAATCTAATTTTTCCTCGAACTACTTGTTTTACTGTCAATAATGACTGTAAACGTTTATGGAGCCCTTGCTGGGACTGGAATTCTACAGCATGTCTCTTTTCCTAGTGAGACGTTTGCACTGTTACCATTTATGTCAGATTGGCCCATATGCACCTTGGTCATCCCAGCATGCTCCTCAGTGGACAGTCAATAAATCCCCTTTGGGGAATGTTCTTTGAGTGATCTCTGTAGGGCATTTCTGTAAGACTGTGCAGATAAGTGGCCTGACTCCCAGTTGGGAATTCATGATTTTATTCCTCATGCTGTTCCTTCAAGTAACACCTACCATAGGTCTCTGCTCTGGGCTTCTCAAGGTTGCCTCATCTTTTTAATCCTCACAGTGACTCATTTCTGAGTTTCCCATTTAATGAGAGGTCTGGGACAGACAGACTGCTTCCTCCTGCCCCAGAGAGAGAGGGAAAGATGGAGAGAAACATCGATGTGTTTGCCTCCCGCACGAGCCCCGATCAGGACCAGGGCCCAGGCTGGGGAGGAGACTGCAACCTCGGCATGTGCCCTTGACCGGAATTCAACCTGGAACCCTTCACTCCGCAGGCCGACGCTCTGTCCACTGAGCCAAACCGGCCAGGGCGGCACTGAAGTCAGTTTTTTAAAGTCTGCATTGCCTTGCCAAACATGAAATATATTTTAGATCTTACTTCACTTGCCAAGCTCTGCTCTCCAATCCACTCCTCCCTCCCTCCCTCTCTCTCTCTCTCTCTCTGCAGGTTTTTAAAAAGTTAGGAAAAATACATAATGTTCATGTCAGTAGGGGAACTGGCTGGCTAAGAAAAACTTGTAATGATATTGTACGTTGAACAGTCACTGTGTTAAGCAGGCAGATATAGGTATTTTCCTCCTGGAGGGAACCAGCCCTGATGAAATGCACGGGGTGCAGTCTTCCACCTGGTGTTTAGGCTTTCGAGAAACTTCTCCCGTTGGTGTTGCTCAGTTATTCATTGTCCTTAGCTTCTAAGTATCTTAGAACTAGAAGGGAAGGAATTACTCAGTCACAGCACCGACAGTTAGGAGAGAGCGCGTTCTGAGAATTCCCAGTCCATGGGGTGACCACAGATTTAATAAGGCCTTAGCCATGCTTTCAGCACTGAAACACTCCCATCAACACGTCTCAGTGAGCGTCCAAGACTTGCCAAATGCCTGGCCTTATTACAGGACCTTGTCCTTATCTGCAACGTTAGCCAAAGTAAACAGCTTTTCCTTTCCCAATTGAGCTTTTAAAGTGAATTTTATTGGTGCAGATAGACAGCTACGGACAAGTACCAGTATACATAGATAAGTCAGGGATTTTCCAGGACACTAACACAGAACAGGTAGGACATCCTAAAGGAAAAATATATTTACTGTAATTTGAGGGTCAGTGTGTGTTTATTATAGCTGCTAAGAGGCTCGATACATGAAATTTGTGCATGGAGAGCGGGGAGGGGTGCTCCTCAGCCCGGCCTGCACCCTCTCCAATCTGGGACCCCTCACAATCCAGGACTGCTGGTTCCCAACCGCTCACCTGCCTCTGCCTGATTGCCCCTAACCCTTTCTGCCTGCAGCCTGATCAATGCCTAACTGCTCCAAACCAGCCCGATTGCCCCTAACTGGCCTCCCCTGCCGGCCTGGTCTGATCGCCCTCCCTGCTGGTCTGATCACCCACAACTATTCTCCCCTAAAGGCCTGGTCCCCTCCAGCTGCCCTCCTCTGCTTGCCTGGTCACCCCTTACTGCCCTCCCCTGCAGGCCATCTTGTAGCAGCCATCTTTGACCACATGGGGTGGCCATCTTGTGTCTTGGAGTGAGGTCAGTTTGCATATTACTTTTTTATTAGATAGGATTTCAATGTGGATTTATGAGGAGGAAGAGATGAGTATGGAAAGAATAAACTGGTAGGTCAGTAAAGTCAGCTGATCCACTTGGGAGTAAAGGAAGAAGGAGAAAGGTGACACTATTTCGGCAGAACTGGTTGATGGTGGGTGATGTCCGCCTCTGGGTGTCAGCGGAAGTACTGTGAATGGAAAATGCTAGAGCAAGGCCACCGTCGCAGCTTCCTGGTGACCCTCATTAGCGGTCCTCTTCCCAGACCCATGTTCATGCATGCAATCTTGCCCACAGCTTCCATCGGGCTAAATGAAGAGCAGAAAGGATATCAGAAAGTGGCCTTTGACTTTGCAGCCCGGGAGATGGCTCCACACATGGCAGAGTGGGACCAGAAGGTAGGAGTTTTCCTTGCGGCTCGATATTCCAACAAATGCCTTTCCTCCCTCCGCTTGTCGTCTTAAGTGTTCGGTGTGTAATCCCCACCTGCGCGCGAAAGTACTGGTAACGATGGGATTCCTTTCCTCGGGGCATCTAGTTTATATTCAGACACTTCTAAAGCCAGGACAGTTGTAAATAATGAAAGAAACCGGAACGCCGGAAAACCGGTTCTCTCGGAAGGCATTTTAACGGATACCCCGGCATAGCTGACAGATGGGCATAGGAAGTGGAGAGAATCCCCGCCCTCCCAAACCCAAACACCCTACCCCCTCAGTGAGCCCTCTGAGGATCACTTACCGCCAACCCCCTCTCTCGTACCCAGGAGCTGTTCCCCGTGGACGTGATGCGGAAGGCGGCCCAGCTGGGCTTCGGCGGGGTCTACGTACGGACAGACGTAGGTGGGTCTGGACTGTCCTGGCTCGATACCTCCGTCATCTTTGAAGCCTTGGCGACGGGCTGCACCAGCACCACCGCCTACATAAGCATCCACAAGTGAGTGCCCGCACTTGGAAAGCACAGCCGAGTCTCGCCTGGGTTGACCGGGAAGTTTCCGATACCCAGGGAAAAGGTTGATCTTCTCAGAACCAGACAAGTTCTCCTTTCCCAGGAGGTCTGCTGCCGCCTGTCAGACTCGAGTCTGTTATCTGGTGTGTTCTCAGAGAGGCAGGCCTCCTGCCTTCCCTCAAGGCCGAGGTGGAGAGGGACCAAGCACCCATCGGGGCCCTGCTCCCCTGCTCCTCAGGCCCAAGGGGAAACCTCCAGGACTCTGGGGAAGTACCCCCGCTCTGTGAATTTTAGGGAGCTCCGTTAGCCTAGTTAGAAGCAGCGTGAACATCCGTGTGAGAACTACGTCGCTGGCTGAGATGAGTTCTAGGAAGAGGTTTCCGATCCAGGCCTTTCCTTTCCAGTCGAATCTTCTCAATTGTGACTTCTTTTTCACTGTCTCTTCTGCTTCTGTCCACTTCTCGCTGTCTCTTCCTGCCTTTGTTCTCTCCCTCCCCCCCGCCCCCTCAAATGTCCTTCTCCATCCTCATCTCTGTGTCTTTCCTTCTCGCCGTGCCTGTCAGCATGTGCGTCTGGATGATCGACACCTTTGGCAATGAGGAGCAGAGGCACCGGTTTTGCCCACCGCTCTGCACCATGGAGAAGTTTGCTTCCTACTGCCTCACGGAGCCAGGTGGGTTTGCTGTCCTCCAGGTGGGATGTCACTCAGGCACAGTCACTGATGTCACTCAGGCACAGTCACTGATGTCACTCAGGATCAGTCACTCCTTAGTGCATTGATACACAGAACCCGGTACTTGCCAAGAGGAACAGATTGTCATGACTTGATGATGGTACAAGACTAAGAAGCCTTGAGGGCACCCTTTCTCTAGGATAGCGGTCGCCAACCGGTGGGCTGCGGACCACTGGTGGCCCGTGAGGTCCGAAAGGTTGGCGACCGCTGTTGTAGGAGGCTCCCTCTAACCGGGGAGATGGAGATGGAAACAGCCTGAACGTATATGCAATTTACACCCAGTACAGAGAGTCCCTTTGGCCATCTGGATTTTAAAGTACCCAGCTCTGAGTTTGTTTATAAGGGAAGGTTTCCTAGGAGATGGGACCAAGCTGGGGCTCCCTTCACCTCACTGACTTTCTCCCCCACCCTCTCCTCTCTCTCCGATCCCTGCCTTAGGAAGTGGGAGCGATGCTGCCTCCCTTTTGACCTCAGCTAAACGGCAAGGAGATCATTACATTCTCAATGGCTCCAAGGTACCAGCATGCTCTCCTCCCGGAACAACTTGAGATTGTCCCCATCTTCTTGCTGACCCCGCCTGGATCCTTGCTGTCTGCGAGTTGATAATCCCGTGGGATTTTTACATGTTGGGAAGAGAGCCTCTGACCGCTTCCCTTTACTCCCCTTCCCTGGTTCTGTCTCTTCTGATTGGTTCCCGATCATTCCATTCGTTTGTGTCTATGCTTCTTAGAGTCTCTTCAGCTAGACTTCTCATCCCCTGCTTCCCCAGTCAGTACCGTTTCTCTGCGCCCCTTCCTACACCTGGGCCATTGTACCGCTTAGTGCAAGCATGTCAAACTCGCGCCGGCGGGCCGCATTCAATGGGGCGCGCGGCTACACGAGTCTGACATGCTTGTCTCAGTGTCCCGCGGTCGGGAGGGCCCCAGGTGTTTTCCCGGATGGCGTGCTCACCCCCCGCCCCCCACAGGCCTTCATCAGCGGTGGAGGGGAGTCGGACGTCTATGTGGTCATGTGCCGGACGGGAGGGCCAGGCCCCAAAGGCATCTCGTGCATCGTGGTGGAGAAGGGGACGCCTGGCCTCAGCTTTGGCAAGAAGGAAAAAAAGGTAAGTGGCTGTTGGCAAGGGATCCAAGCTCTGGGACGCCCCCCGCCAGACCACGCTGTGCTCCGTTGCTCTGTTTGACGAAGTAGCTTCTCGTGTTTTCCAACTTGCCCTGGAGGCAGTTGCTTCTAGAAGGACTCTGACGGGAACATAACATAGAATAAGGCATCGCCAGCACAACCCTAGGCCACTGGTGACAGTGGCATTTGTCCCGTCAGTCCGCAGCTGCCTGTGCTTCACTGTGAGTGATTTCCCTGTCATCTCTCCTCTTGCCATTGTGGCCTGTGTTTCTCATCCAGCTTCTGTTATCCCAAGAATACATACGTATAGAAGTCTCGGGAATGATGTAGATGGGCCCCTTTTATTCTTTACGTAAAAATGAAGTATAATTCACTGGAGATGAGTGTGCGTATTTCAGCCATGGTCAAAGGGAGAGAATTCCCATGGGTGCTCTGGGAAGACATTGCTAGGATTAAGAAGCAACTCCCTTACGTAAGGGAATAGCGAGGCCACAGAAAAGTCCAGGTTGACTTGGCGAAAGTTGAAGAATACGGCTAGCTAGTTAGTTGCGTGGCATGGACTAGATCTTGGATCTTCAAAATTTCCTCTGGGCTCATGACTGGCATATTCAACGGTATCCTGGCAAATCAGCTAGCTAGCAAAAACAAAAAACCCTCATGGTTCGCTAGTTTCTGTGGTTTAAATACTCCCACTATGGCCGATTTCAAGCCACTGATGTGATGTCACAGAAGCCGAGGTAGGAGATGTGCTTAACTGGCTCTCGGGAACCGGTGCCCACACGGCACTGGCTCTGCAGCTAAGCGCTTCACTAGGTGTCGCCCGCACAGTGAATGCCAGTCAGACCACCCTCGACGGACACTAAGCTCATAAGAGGAGAAGTGTAGCTATTGTTAATAACCCTACTACTGTCCTCCCATGTATCACAGGTCACCCACAGCATTCTTATATTATCTATGTTCTTTATAAAACAGTATCTCACAGAGGCACGAAACGGCGGCAGTCCTGCCCAATCCCAAGGGAAATTGAGAGAAATGCTTCTGAGTTGGTTCATTCGGGAGAGCGGACATTAGAAAACGGATGCTTTCATGTGTTAAAAAATAAAATGTTTAGCTGAGAACAAAAAAAAAAAAAAACCTGTCAGATGTTTCCCAGGCTCTGTCAGCAGAGGGCACGGCCCTGAGGGGGTGGGGGGGGGGGGGGGGGGGGGCTGGGCAGCCACGGGGTCCCTGATGTTTGCCAGGTCGGGTGGAACTCCCAGCCAACCCGCGCCGTGATCTTTGAAGACTGCGCCGTCCCTGCGGCCAACAGGATTGGGAACGAGGGGCAAGGCTTCCACATCGCCATGAAAGGCCTGAATGGAGGGAGGATCAACGTCGGTGAGAACTCTGGGGGCTAGGGCAGGGAGGGCGGGGAGGGCAGTGGGCTGGGGCGGGCAGCACTGTCCTCCGACTGAGTCCAAGTGTCTCTCTTTTCCTTCTAGCTTCTTGCTCCGTCGGGGCTGCTCATGCTTCAGTCACCCTCGCCCGAGACCACCTCAATGTCCGGAAGCAGTTTGGAGAGCTTCTGGCCAATAACCAGGTAACTGCCCAGGCCTGGCCCAAGACCTAATCTGCGCCCCCTGCTTTCCAGGAGAGTGTGGGATTCTGCCCCGTTTTCGCCGGAGCCTGTGCTCTGTCAGTAGTTTTTACCAGAGGCAATAACGTCATTGCAGGGGCCTGAGCTTCAGGCGGTGCATTTTCTCTGCAAGAGGCAGCAGGCTTTGAGGCTGCCAGCCGCTTAGGAAAGGTGCCTCGTTGAAGATCTTACAGAGGCCCCAGCTCAGGGGCTGCTGGGAGCCCTCTGCTGGACTGGTTCTCTTCCCCCCTCCTGCCCTAGTACCTGCAGTTCAAACTGGCTGATATGGCCACAAGGCTGGTGGCCTCGCGGCTGCTGGTCCGCAGCGCGGCGGTGGCTCTGCAGGAGGAGCGGGACGACGCGGTGGCCCTGTGTGCCATGGCCAAGCTCTTCGCTACAGACGAGTGTTTCGCTGTAAGTGATGACACGCTCGGCTCTCCGGTGACCTGGGAGCAGCTGCTGGGTCAGCTCCCGGGATGCTGCAGGGAGCCATCGCCTTGGGGCTCAGGGATAAGAGTTAACTCGGGAGGGCCTGCAGGGGGCGCCCAGCTGGCTTTTCACCTGGTCCCCGGCGGCCACATAGGCTCCTCTGTCCCTGCTCTTCGCTTGTGTGCTCGCTGAGACCTGCCTTTGGAAGAAGGTGCAGAGCAGCCCAGTGCCTCCTGCTCCCATGTGCTGTTTACAATGCCAGGGGCAAGGCCATGCCACACCGAGGCTGTGTCGGTGCCACTAGATGGCACCTTAGCCTCATAGAAGCCCAGCCGGGGCGGTGGCAGATGGCTCCTCCCTGCGAGCCAGGAATCCGGGCCTCTGCTCTGCCTGTTGGGTGGGGACTGATGTTCAGCAGGTGGACGTCCTTGTCTCTGACCACAGAGCGTGGCGCCCCTTTCGGCTTGGCTGGTCATCTGGAGGTGGCTCTTCTCTTTCTCACGTCAGTTCCCAGCAGCTTGCGGGCTGGGGTGGAGAGAGCAGCCGACTCCCTGGGTTAAAGATGCCCCACCTGTGTCTCCCTGCAGATCTGCAACCAGGCCTTGCAGATGCACGGAGGCTACGGCTACCTGAAGGACTACGCCGTCCAGCAGTACATGCGGGACTGCAGGGTCCACCAGATCCTGGAAGGTAAGCCTCCCAGAGTCCTTCCCTCCCTCCAGGGCGCCCCCGGGATGGCCAGCCAGGCCCTGTCAGCAGCACCCTCCTGCCTGCCGCCTCCTGCCCCCTCCAGGAGGACCTGGGCTGCCCCCAGAGGGCACCAGAATGGGAGTCACTTCTCTTTTCGTCTTTTTCTTTGTAAGCTTTAGAGAAGGCTTAAGCTGATGATTTATGAGAAAACATTTTTGAAAACTCTAGCGACGACTATTCTTTTTTTTTTTAAATATATTTTATTGATTTTGTACAGAGAGGAAGGGAGAGAGATAGAGAGCTAGAAACATCGATGAGAGAGAGTCATCGATCAGCTGCCTCTTTCACACCCCCCACCGGGGACATGCCCGCAACCAAGGTACATGCCCTTGACCGGAATCGAACCCGGGTCTCCTCAGTCCCCAAGCCGACGCTCTATCCATTGAGCCAAACCGGTCCCGGCTAGCGACGGTTGTAAAGTAAGTACTTGGTCCTCAGAAATCCCTTGACTTCTGTACAGTGATTTAAAGGTCACATGAGCCAGTGTGATCACCGCTGCCTTTTCAGACCAGTGACCTGCCAGATGGTAAAAGACATTTCTGTCAATATTGCTACTGCATTTTTCAGTGAAATAGTCATCAGTCTATGGGCATCTTCTTGGTCATCACACATTCAGGTGGGGAAAATGTGTAAGGCTATTAGTCACGCCCAGACCATGGCCTTCACTCTTTTTTTTTTTTTTTTTTAATATATTTTATTGATTTTTCACAGAGAGGAAGGGAGAGAGATAGAGAGCTAGAAACATCGATGAGAGAGAAACATCGACCAGCTGCCTCTTGCACATCCCCCACCGGGGATGTGCCCGCAACCAACGCACATGCCCCTGACCGGAATCGAACCTGGGACCCTTCAGTCTGCAGACCGACGCTCTACCACTGAGCCAAACCGGTTTCGGCGGCCTTCCCTCTTCTTGACGTCCCTTCACTGTTGTTCCAGCCAGCGCAGGGGTCCGGGTTGATACCCTGTAAGAAAAGCAGACGGGCAGCGGCTTGTCTGAGCGACTCTCAGCGGAAGGACGGGGGGCTGCCTTCCTGGGCGTAGCAGAGGCCTCTGAGCACGGGCTCTTCTGCGCTTCACAGTGGCCTCCTCAGACCTGAGCACACCCGAGAGTCACTGGCGGGCTGTGAGAACATGGCTGGGCCCCACCCCGGGTTTCTGTCTCCGGGTCTCGGGTGGCCAGAATTTGCATCTGTAGCAAGCTTCCAAGTGAGGCTGCGGCTGCTGCTTGCCTGAGAGCCACACTCGCACACCTCATCCCAAGTGTGTGTTTATGAGCGCGATTCTAGCGCTCAAAGAATCAGTCGTACTCCTCTCCTGCAGTGTCCTCTGCTCCTGCCGTCCCTTTCTCACCAGCGTTATGAGTGTGGGAAACTGGACCTTCATTTAACCCAGCCTTTACCGCTCAGAGGAAGTGGGAAAAGCAGGCACTTCTGTATCCGGCCACACGTCATCCACTCGTGGAAAGACCCGGCACTGATCTTTATCATGGGCCTTGTGATTGCATCAATCAGGAATTTTAGACTTGATTTTATTTGAGATGTGTGATTACTCGTCCCTCAGGGGCTTCTGTTTCTCTCTGCATTAGAAGCCATTGTAAAAATGAAGCCAGCCATTGACACACACACACACACACACACTGGGTCAGGGAAAATGTTCTTTAAAATGGAGTGTTCTGATTACCAAAGAAATTGGTGTATTTATTGTTGAAAATTTATAAAATATAGGATAAGTTAAAAAAAAAATAAATCACTTATGGCCGAAACCGGTTTGGCTCAGTGGTACAGCGTCGGTGTGCAGACTGAAAGGTCCCAGGTTCAATTCCAGTCAAGGGCATGTACCTTGGTTGCAGGCACATCCCTGGTAGAAAGTGTGCAAGAGGCAGCTGGTCGATGTTTCTCTCTCATTGATGTTTCTAGCTCTCTATCTCTCTCCCTTTCTCTCTGTTAAAAATCAATAAAATATATTTTTAAAAAATCACTTATGTTTCCACATCTAGAATTAATAATTTGGGCTCCTTTCATATGTAAGTCCAAACACATCTCCTTTGGTCTTTTTCTATGCTTTGATAGGTACATTAAAAAAAAAAAAGAATTATACTATATATATCATTTCTTGTTCTTTTACCTAATACAAGCACTTTACCATCAGGAGAGGTTTCTTTATTTAAAAAATAGTTTATTGCCGAAACCGGTTTGGCTCAGTGGATAGAGCATCGGTCTGCAGACTGAAAGGTCCCAGGTTCAATACTGGTCAGGGGCATGTGCCTTGGTTGTGGGCACATCCCCAATAGGGGGTGTGCAAGAGGCAGCTGGTCTATGCTTCTCTCTCATCGACGTTTCTAGCTCTCTATCCCTCTCCCTTCCTCTCTGTGGAAAAATCAATAAAATTAATTTTTTAAAAAATAGTTTATTGACTTTTAGAGAGAGAGGAAGGGACTGGGGGAGAGAGCATTCATCAATCGCCTCCTGCATGCCCCCTACTGGGGACAGAGCCCACAGCCTGGGCGCGGGCCTGACTTGGAATCAAACCAGCACCCCTCCGGTGCACGGGATGATGGTCCACCTGAGCCTCACTGGCCAGGGAGGAGCGGTCTTTGTGAAAGTCAATGTAATCCTCACTTTCTCACCTTCCTCTGCACTTTGGAGAAAAGTCTGTGGCAATTTGGTCCCCTGCCAGCGGGATAAAAGCAACCATCATAGTTTGCATCATGCCCTCCCTGAGCGAGGCGCGGACACCCCGGTCAGACCCTGCAGAGTTCTCAGGCCCATTTCGTTGCTACTCACGCCTTCCTTCTGGCTCCTCCCTCTTCCAGGCAGCAACGAGGTGATGAGGATGCTGATCTCGCGGAGCCTGCTCCAGCAGTAGCCCAGACGTGCTCTGCCCCGATGTGGACTGTGCACTTGAATTAGGGTGGACTGGCCCGCTCTGGACTGGCCTGCTCTGGACGGTTCTGTTACAAATGAGTCATAAGGTCATAGGACCGAGCCCTCCTAGGAGGACCTCCCTCAGTGTCGGCAGCAGGTACGGCGTCGTCGGAGGCCTGGAGGAGCGGCCTTGGTGGGGTGTCCTGAGGACACTGCTGTGTTTCCTGAAGCTCAAGGTGACTGATGACGGGTCAGCGACCATGGTCCTCTTTGCATCCACATCGTCTGGGTCTGCCTGTGTGTGCTGGTTCACCGGATCCTCCTCCCGGAAGCTGGGTGCTCCATGCAGCGTATTTCTATTTATTAAGCAAAGGTGTGGGAAAGGGGAAGTGGAGGAAAGCGACCTGTCTTTTTCCGTCCCCTGCACCTCAGCTGGAGATGCAGGTTCCTGTGGGCACACTTCCTCCATAGCACACCTCTGAAGTAAACGGGCCTTCGGGGAACGTGGCCCTGACTATGACTTAAGGTGTCTGGACGTCTGGACCACTTGAATCAAGGCTGAGGTGACCTGGACCTTTGAAGATTTGCTTTCTTTTTAAGAAGCATCTAGGAATAGTGTTCAAAGTTTCTAGAACCCTTTCTAGGAAGTACTTGGGATATATTTTTTCTATCTACATTTTTTGTTTTTGTTTTATGAAGCTATTACTCTTTTTAAAGGTCTTTGATTGATAAATAAAATTTATCCCTTTCTGTACCATCTCAAGCTCCACTGAAGTTGGTTTTTATTCTTTCTGTCAGCCTTTACAACTATTTTTTAAAAATGTATTAAACACAACTAGATTTTGGAATTAAAAAAACAAAAAACAAAAAATAACTCTAGACCTAATTGGTTTTTAAAAAAAAATAGTTCCCTGGACCAGGCCAGTGTTGCTCAGTTGGTTGGAGTGTCGTTTCATACACCAAAGGTTGCAGGTTCGACTCCCGGTTGGGACACATACCCATGTTGTAGGCTCGATCCCTGGTTAGAAGGCAATCAATCGATGTTTCACATTATTGTTTCTCCCTCTCTCCTTGAGGATTTTTAAGTTTCCTTAAATTACTTAGTTTTACTAACTAAGCATTGTTTATGATTTATGAAAGTAGATTTAAAGTAATATTCAAAGATGGAGACTTTACTGAGAACCTTGTTATAAATATTGATTCTATTACTCTATCCCCTCATCTCTATAGAAAAAAAGACCCAAAATATTTTGTTAACTACAAGTCAGGGTTTAGAGAGACCAAAATATACCTCTTTAGCTATGACAAATACATTCTGTTTTGATTGCATATTCTCTGTAGGGACCTGTGCTGGGCACTGCAGAGGGTATGGTGTGCTGCAAACTTTAAATTCAAAGGCCTCAGTTAGCAGCTGTAGTACCAGGTAATGGTAGGCCTACAGAGGAGTGTGAGCTGCAAAGTGATTACATAGGATGAGATACCTGGAGATGGTAGAAATTCGATGTAAGCTTTCATGAAAAGAGAACCAAGAAAGTTGGTTTCAGACCGGAAAGGAACAGGAAAAGGAAAGGATTTATGTAGGCGCTGTTGACAGTTATGCTTTGGAGTTGACAAAGGAAAGAAAGAAAATGCAAGTAGATCTGCAGGGAGAGTCAGCCTGGAGCCGGTGCAAGCTCTCGGGTGCTGCTCGAAGTGGGGCGTCTGCTCCATTCTAAGCCATGAAAGAACATTCCATCCGGGTCCATTCTTTCCCTTCCCACGCACAGCTTGTCACATGTCACCGGGCTTCCGGGATTTGATTTCCGGTGGGAAGGACTTGTCCCTGGGGTCTCCCACTCTGCTCTCTGGCCTCCGAATCCCTCTTCCTGTCGGCGGCAGTTAGGAGTTGGGAATTGATGAAGTGGGGACACAGGGGCCATTCTGCTCCATCTCTTGGTCAGAAGGCTGTGGCAGTGAGCCTTGGGCTGCCCACACTCACCTGGTGAGCATCAGCCACGCACTGCTTGATCATAACTCCCAGGATAACACGTCTGTACGAGTGCCGAAGGGAAAACAAATCTTGGGGAAGAAGGATGTATATGGAAATGTTAAATAAATCAAAAAAGGATGGGCACTGGGAATTGTACAGCGGAGCTAATGAAAATAGGATGAAGTGGGAAGAAATGGCAAAGCCAAAGTTAATATTTTTTTAAATTTATTTATTAATATATTTTATTGATTTTTTTTGCCCCCCTCCCTCCCTCCCTCCCACAGATCCCCTCCCTCCCCAGAGTTTTGTGTCCATTGGTTGTACTTATATGCATGTATAAAAGTCCTTCGGTTGATCTATTATCTCCCCCAGATCTTCCTCCCCTCCCCGCTGTAATTTGACAGTCTACTTGTTGATATACTGTCTCTATATCTATCTTTTGGTTCATCAGTTTATAATGCTCTTTATTATCCACAAATGAGTGAGGTCATGTGGTGTTTCTCTTTCGTTGATTGGCTTATTTCACTCAGCATGATGCTCTCCAATTCCATCCAGGTTGCTGCAAATGATGAGAATTCCTTCTTTTTTATGGCAGCATAGTATTCCATTGTGTAGATGTACCAAAGTTTTTTGATCCAATCATCTGCTGACGGGCACCTAGGCTGTTTCCAAATTCTGGCTATTGTAGATTGTGCTGCTATGAACATAGGGGTGCATATATCCTTTCTGATTGGTGTTTCTAGTTTCTTGGGATATATTCCTAGAAGTGGGATTACTGGGTCAAATGGGAGTTCCATTTTCAGTTTTTTGAGGAAACTCCACACTGTTCTCCACAGTGGTTGCACCAGTCTGCATTCCCACCAGCAGTGCACGAGGGTTCCTTTTTCTCCGCAACCTCGCCAACACTTGTCTGTTGATTTGTTGATGTTGGCCATTCTGACAGGCAAAGTTAATATTTTTATAAAACATGTAGTGGACATTTTTGGGCGATATATGAAAAGACATATGAAAGACAAAAGAACAAAGTTTATTATAAATGAAAGGAATAGATAAATATAGGACAGCAGAGATAAAATGCTGGAATAAATTCATCAGGAACAAATTCAAAATGTGTAGAAATTGAAGAAAAAATTCAAAATATGGAGAAATTGAAGAAAAAAATTCATAATATGTAGAAATTGAAGAAAAATTCAAAATATGTAGAAACTGAAGAAAAACTTAGAATAAATATAACATTCCTGAATCGTCATATGAAGACATGACGCCCTCTGACTGGCAGGCGGCTGGGCAGTGTGCCTCGGGCTCTCCGCCTTCCTGGAGCAGCAGGGCGGCAGCTGCACCGCCTCAGAGGGGTCCCCACGGAGGGCGGACACAGCAGCACAGTAGACAGGGAGAAGCATTTCCAGGGAGATGGCAGCTATAGAAGGCAGTGGCCCAGCATGGTGTCCCGGCTCCGGGCTGCAGGGGACAGCTGCAGGCGAAGGCCCAGGGTGGTGTCCCGGGTCCTGGCTTGGTTGATGAAGGCGGCGGGTCGGCGGTTGGCGGTCTTGGGTCCAGGGTGGTGTCCCGGGTCCTGCCTGTGTCCATGGAGGCGGCGGGGCCCAGGGAGGTGTCCCCGGTCCGGGCTGGGCAGATGGAGGCAGAGGAGCCCAGGGTGGTGTCCCAGGTCCCGGCTGGTCCCATGGAGGCGGCAGGGCAAAGGGTGGTGTCCCGGGTCCAGGCTGGGTCGATTAGGCGGCGGGTCGGCGTCTGGCGGGCTGGGCCCAGGGTGGTGTCCCGGGTCTGTGCTGGGCCCCATGGAGGCAGCGGGTCGGTGGCTGGCGGGCTGGAGCCCCGAGTGGTGTCCCGGGTCCCTGCTGGACCGATGGAGGCATTGGGTTGGCGGCTGCCAGGCTGGAACCCAGTGTGGTGTCCCGAGTTCGGGCTGGGCCCATGGGGGCGGCGGGGCCCAGAGTGGTGTCCCGGGTCCGGGCTGGGTCAATGAAGGCAGCGGGTCGGCGGTTGGCGGTCTTGGGTCCAGGGTGGTGTCCTAGGGCCGGGCCGGACAGATGGAGGTGGAGGGGCCCAGGCTGGTGTCCCGGCTCTGAGCTGGGCCCATGGAGGCAGCGGGGCACAGGATGTTGTCCCAGGTCCCTGCTGGACTGATGGAGGCATTGGGTTGGCGGCTGGTGGGCTGGGGCCCAGTGTGGTGTCCCGGGTCTGGGCTGGGTCGATGAAGGCGGCGGGGCTGGTGGTTGGCGGTCTTGGGTCCAGGGTGGTGTCCCAGGTCGGGGCTCGGCCGATCAGGCGGAGGGTTGGCGGCTGGCGGGCTGGGGTCCAGTGTGGTGTCCCATGTCCGGGCTGGGCCTATGGAGGCGGCGGGTCGGCGGCTGGCGGGCTGGGGCCCAGGGTGATGTCCCGGGTCCAGGCTGGGCAGATGGAGGCGGAGGGGCCAGGGTGGTGTCCCCAGTCTGGGCTGGGTCGATGAAGGCGGCAGGGCCCAGGGTGGTGTCCCGGCTCCGGGCTGGGCCGATGGAAGCGGCGGGTCCGCGGCTGGTGGGCTGGTGCCCTGGGTGGTGTCCCGGGTTCGGGCTGGGCTGCAGGTGGAGGCAGCGGCCAGTGGCCCAGAGTGTCCCTTGACTAACATTCTCATCTATGCGAGTAGGCATTCATTGATGATAATGGTGAAAAGCGAAGCAATGGTTAAATCATCCTCTAACACAAAGTACCTAATAGATGAATTAAAAACAAAAAACACATTCTTTCTATTAATATGTGATGATTTAAATCACAAAACAGATAGCAATGTTTGTGTCTGTTTTTCCATGCATGAAGAAAACTAAGTCAGTTCATGGATATTATAACTATAACAGCCAATTCAATAGTGAATTGGGAAGAAAGGATATTTTGTCCATTTTAATATATATTTTTTAAAACTCCCTTGATCAGGCCCCATCTGCTTTGGCTCAGTCGATAGAGCGTCAGCCTGAGGACTGAAGGGTCCTGGGTTTGATTCTGGTCAAGGGCATGTGCCTTGGTTGCAGGCCCATCCCCAGTGGGGGGCTTGCAGGAGGCAGCTGATGGATGACTCTCTCATTGATGTTTCTAACTATCTCTCTCCCTTCCTCTCTGTAAAAAGTCAAAAATATATTTAAAAAACAAAACACTTATTTTATGTAGCTCAACCTTATAATAACCTCATAGAACAGGTGCACAGTTCATCGCCATTTGATAGGCAGTCGAGGAATAAGCTTATGTTCACTATGCGATTAAGCCACAGAGCTAGGATTAGATCCCGGCAGCCTGACCCAAACCCCGTGTTCCTCAGTGTCTTCCCTTGTGTAAACATCACAAATACAGACATCCCACGCGTGCCCGCTATGTCTCTGCACACTTCACATGGGACCAGGAACCGAGGTTGACCGAGACTAGAATTGGGATGGACTGTTGGTTCTCTGAGCAAACAAGGATGCAGTGGCTCTCCTAGTAGAATAAGCATTGACAGCGTTCTCACTCGGGCAGGGAAATGCTTGCTAATTTTCACCTACCTCTTCAATGCCTCCTCACATAAAGGTTGGAGGACGAAAAACGGGAACAATCCGGCCAGAAGAGCTTTTTATCTCTCGCTTTTATAGCAATGCAGGCTTCCTCTTTGGGAAGATAGTTCATCGGAAAATACATTGGCTGCGAGAGAAACATAATCATGTAAGTATATATATATATTTTTTTTTAATTTTTTTTTAAATGTATTTTATTGATATTTCAGAGAGGAAGAAGGTAGAGATAGAGAGCTAGAAACGTCCATGAGAGAAAGACATCAACCAGCTGCCTCTTGCACACCCCCTACCGGGGATGTGCCCACAACCAATGTACATGCCCTTGACCGGAATCGAACCTGGGA